GTGGTCTAGTTTCATTCTTCTGCATGTGGATGTCCAATTTTCCCAGCACCATTTATTGAATAGACTGTCTTTCTTCCAGTGGATAGTCTTTCCTCCTTTATTGAATATCAGTTGACCATAAAGTTCAGGGTCCACTTCTGGGTTCTCTATTCTGTTCCATTGATCTATGTGTCTGTTTTTGTGCCAGTACCACACTGTCTTGATGACCACAGCTTTGTAGTACAACCTGAAATCTGGCATTGTGATGCCCCCAGCTATGGTTTTCTTTTTAAAAATTCCCCTGGCTATTCGGGGTCTTTTCTGATTCCACACAAATCTTAAAATAATTTGTTCTAACTCTCTGAAGGAAGTCCATGGTATTTTGATAGGGATTGCATTAAACATGGAAATTGCCCTGGGTAAATTGACATTTTCACAATATTAATTCTGCCAATCCATGAGCATGGAATATTTTTCCATCTGTTTGTGTCTTCCTCAATTTCTTTCAGAAGTGTTCTATAGTTTTTAGGGTATAGATCCTTTACGTTTTTGGTTAGGTTTATTCCTAGGTATCTTATGCTTTTGGGTGCGATTGTAAATGGGATTGACTCCTGAATTTCTCTTTCTTCAGTCTCATTGTTAGTGTATAGGAATGCCATTGCTTTCTGGGCATTGATTTTGTATCCTGCCATGCTACCAAATTGCTGTATGAGTTCTAGCAATCTTGGGGTGGAGGCTTTTGGGTTTTCTATGTAGAGTATCATGTCATCGGCGAAGAGGGAGAGTTTGACTTCTTCTTTGCCAATTTGAATGCCTTTAATGTCTTTTTGTTGTCTGATTGCTGAGGCTAGGACGTCCAATACTATGTTGAATAGCAGTGGTGAGAGTGGACATCCCTGTCTTGTTCCTGATCTTAGGGGAAAGGCTCTCAGTGCTTCCCCATTGAGAATGATATTTGCTGTGGGCTTTTCGTAGATGGCTTTTAAGATGTCGAGGAAAGTTCCCTCTATCCCTACACTCTGAAGAGTTTTGATCAGGAATGGATGCTGTATTTTGTCAAATGCTTTCTCTGCATCTAATGAGAGGATCATATGGTTCTTGGTTTTTCTCTTGCTGATATGATGAATCACATTGATTGTTTTACGAGTGTTGAACCAGCCTTGTGTCCTGGGGATAAATCCTACTTGGTCATGGTGAATAATTTTCTTAATGTGTTGTTGGATCCTATTGGCTAGTATCTTGTTGAGAATTTTTGCATCCATGTTCATCAGGGATATTGGTCTGTAATTCTCCTTTTCGGTGGGGTCTTTGTCTGGTTTTGGAATTAAGGTGATGCTGGCCTCATAGAACGAATTTGGAAGTACTCCATCTCTTTCTATCTTTCCAAACAGCTTTAGTAGAATAGGTATGATTTCTTCTTTAAACGTTTGATAGAATTCCCCTGGGAAGCCATCTGGCCCTGGACTCTTGTGTCTTGGGAGGTTTTTGATGACTGCTTCAATTTCCTCCCTGGTTATTGGCCTGTTCAGGTTTTCTATTTCTTCCTGTTCCAGTTTTGGTAGTTTGTGGCTTTCCAGGAATGCGTCCATTTCTTCTAGATTGCCTAATTTATTGGCGTAGAGCTGTTCATAATATGTTTTTAAAATCGTTTGTATTTCCTTGGTGTTGGTAGTGATCTCTCCTTTCTCATTCATGATTTTATTAATTTGAGTCTTCTCTCTCTTCTTTTTAATAAGGTTGGCTAATGGTTTATCTATCTTATTAATTCTTTCAAAGAACCAACTCCTGGTTCTATTGATCTGTTCCACAGTTCTTCTGGTCTCAATTTCGTTGAGTTCTGCTCGAAATTTAATTAACTCTCTTCTTCTGCTGGACGTCGGGTCCATTTGCTGTTTCTTCTCTAGCTCCTTTATGTGTAAGGTTAGCTTTTGTATTTGAGTTCTTTCCAGTTTTTGAATGGATGCTTGTATTGCGATGTATTTCCCCCTCAGGACTGCTTTTGCTGCATCCCAAAGATTTTGAACAGTTGTATCTTCATTCTCATTAGTTTCCATGAATCTTTTTAATTCTTCCTTAATTTCCTGGTTGACCCTTTTATCTTTTAGCAGGATGGTCCTTAACCTCCACGTGTTTGAGGTCCTTCCAAACTTCTTCTTGTGATTGAGTTCTAATTTCAAGGCGTTATGGTCTGAGAATATGCAGGGGACGATCCCAATCTTTTGGTATCGGTTCAGACCCGATTTGTGACCCAGTATGTGGTCTATTCTGGAGAAAGTTCCATGTGCACTTGAGAAGAATGTGTATTCAGTTGAGTTTGGATGTAAAGTTCTGTAGATATCTGTGAAATCATCTGGTCCAGTGTATCATTTAAAGCTCTCGTTTCTTTGGAGATGTTGTGCTTAGAAGACCTATCGAGGGTAGAAAGAGCTAGATTGAAGTCACCAAGTATAAGTGTATTATTATCTAAATATTTCTTCACTTTGGTTAATAATTCGTTTAAGTATTTGGCAGCTCCCACATTCGGGGCATATATATTGAGGATTGTTAAGTCCTCTTGTTGGATAGATCCTTTAAGTATGATATAGTGTCCCTCTTCATCTCTCACTACAGTCTTCGGGATAAATTTTAGTTTATCTGATATAAGGAAGGCTACCCCTGCTTTCTTTGAGAACCATTTGAATGGTAAATGGTTCTCCAACCTTTTATTTTCAGGTTGTAGGTGTCCTTCTGTCTAAAATGAGTCTCTTGTTGACAGCAAATAGATGGGTCCTGCTTTTTTATCCAGTCTGAAACCCTGCGCCTTTTGATGGGGTCATTAAGCCCGTTCACGTTCAGAGTTACTATTGACAGATATGAGTTTAGTGTCATCATGATATCTATTTAGTCCTTGTTTTTGTGGATTGTTCCACTGAACTTCTTCTTAAAGGGGAATTTTAAGAGTCTCCCTTAAAATTTCTTGCAGAGCTGGTTTGGAGGTCACATATTCTTTCAGTTCCTGCCTGTCTTGGAAGCTCTTTATCTCTCCTTCCATTTTGAATGAGAGCCTTGCTGGATAAAGTATTCTTGGCTGCATGTTCTTCTCATTTAGGACCCTGAATATATCCTGCCAGCCCTTTCTGGCCTGCCAGGTCTCTGTGGAGAGGTCTGCTGTTACCCTAATATTCCTCCCCATGAAAGTCAGGGACTTCTTGTCTCTTGCTGCTTTAAGGATCTTCTCTTTATCTTTGGAATTTGCAAGCTTCACTATTAGATGTCGAGGTGTTGAACGGTTTTTATTGATTTTAGGGGGGGATCTCTCTATTTCCTGGATCTGAATGCCTGTTTCCCTTCCCAGATTGGGAAAGTTTTCAGCTAGGATTTGTTCAAATACATATTTTGGCCCTCTGTCCCTTTCGGCGCCCTCGGGAACCCCAATTAAACGTAGGTTTTTCTTCCTTAGGCTGTAATTTATTTCCTTTAATCTGTCTTCATGGTCTTTTAATTGTCTGTCTCTTTTTTCCTCAGTTTCCCTCTTTGCCATTAACTTGTCTTCTATGTCACTCACTCGTTCTTCCACCTCGTTAACCCTCGTCGTTAGGACTTCTAGTTTGGATTGCATCTCATTCAATTGATTTTTAATTTCTGCCTGATTGGATCTAAATTCTGCAGTCATGAAGTCTCGTGAGTCCTTAATGCTTTTTTCTAGAGCCACCAGTAGCTGTATAATAGTGCTTCTGAATTGGCTTTCTGACATTGAATTGTAATCCAGATTTTGTAACTCTGTGGGAGAGAGGGCTGTTTCTGATTCTTTCTTTTGAGGTGAGGTTTTCCTTCTAGTCATTTTGCTCAGTGCAGAGTGGCCAAATCAAGTTGTATTGGGAAAAGGAGAGAAAGAGAGAGAAGGAAAGAAAAGAGAAAGAGAAAAAAGAAAAAGAAGAAAAAAAAGGAAAAAAGAGAAGAAAAAGAGAAAGAAAAAGAAAGAAAGGTGAAAAAAAGGGGGTTGGGGGAAGCAATCAGAAATCAAAAAGAAAAGAAAAAAGAAAAAAAAAAACAAAAAACACGGGGGAGTATCTTCTGATTCTGTAGACTTTAAGTCCCTTGACTTCCCCTGGAACTGGTCCGTCTAGCTGGTCTTCTGGGGGAGGGCCCTGTTGTGCTGATTTTCAGGTGTTAGCACTTGGGGGAGCTGCTCTGCCCCTGCCTGCTGCATGGCTCAGCGGGGGTTGTTTACCCCGTGAGGCCCCAGGAGGAACAGCCGCAGTTGCTATCGGCCAGCTCTGGATGTCAGCCTCCGCAGGAACTACGGGGCTCTCCGTCTGCAGGGCCTGGAGGCTCCGGGGCGGGGCCGCTGATCTGCTCAGCTCGAGGCAGGAGCGTCCTCGCTGTCCTGGGCCCTCCCGGCCTCTGCCTGTCCCGGGGAGGCCGGATCCTGGGCTGTGTCCCGGCGCCCTGTGCTCCGGGGCCTGCGCTGTGGGATTCGCGCTCCCGCCCCGCAGCCCCCTCCGCGGAGCCGCCGCCCGAGCCCCTCCGAGCTGCTCCGGGTCCCGCCGTGCGCGCTGCAGCCCTTAGGGAGCTCGGCGCACTCTCCCGGGGCGCAGGTGTCTGTTAGTGTCCCCGGGAGCCCGAGGGCATCCCCGCCCTCCTGGGTCCTGCTCCAGCTCCCTGCGAGCCCCTTTCCGCCCGGGAAGGTTGGTGCAGCTCCTGCTCCTCCGGGACGGGGCTCTCCTGTCCTGGGGACACTCGCCCCGGCCTCAGCCCGGCTCCTCGCGGGCCCCTCCCCTCGGAGGCCTTTTGTTTCTTTATTTCTTTTTCCCCGTCTTCCTACCTTGATAGAAGCGCGAACTCTTCTCACTGTAGCATTCCAGCTGGTCTCTCTTTAAATCTCAGGCCGAATTCGTAGATTTTCAGGATGATTAGTAGGTTATCTCGGTAATTTGGTGGCGACAGGTGACTCGGGGACCCTGCTCTTCCGCCATCTTGCCCCTCCCCCAGGATCTCAGTTCTTATTGGATTGTTATTCTCTCCATCCTATCATATTTTAGGGACATCAGAGAAATACTCCATCTGACATACAGAGACAATCACTGCTATGATGGGAGAAAGACTGAGAAATCATTCAGAGAGGAAGCAGAAGACAAGAGCCTGAAATTCCAGGTAGAAACAACGGCAAGGCAAAGATGCAAGCTCACACATGAACTTGACACCTAGCTGTGGATGCAGAGGAGCACACCCACACACACACACACACCCCCACACACCCACACACACACACACACACACACACACAATTACAGCTCTCAGTAATAAGGTAGGAAATACCTCTGAGACTCAGGTACCCTGGAAGTGATGGGGCCTTTGTAGTGGGTGACAGAAGCTCCCACTCGGGGTCTCCCCGGGCTGGGCTGCCCCCCAGCGGTGTGTGAGAATCACTCTGGGTCTGGTGCTGTTTGGTTGGCTCTGGTCTGCAGTGTCCTCAGAACCCAGTGGGCTGGAGCTTGATGCCCCAGTATGCCACCTCAGGGTCCAGAGTCAGTCTTGCTGCTCCTAAGTCAACACTAGGAAATCAGGAAGTATGATTTATAAGTATATTGTTACTTTTCCTCTGTTCAGAAAGGGGAATAAATTCTTCTCAATGAATGGCTTAGGAAATTCCCTGTCTCCTGGTTCCACTCAGATGAGTAGAGGTCCAATCAGTGTAAGATACAGCCTCAAGGCTCTTGTACAGTGGAAATCTCCCCTTCCCTGGTTCAACCTCACCTCCAACTGAGTGAGACACCTGCAGTAGGGACAGGAAAAGCATCGACTTATCTCCTCTTTCTTCCTCCCACTGCCTCCATTACATGGAGGAGCATGGCGTAGGGGAACTACAAGAATAGGAAAGGACTCACTCAGTACATTTGCAATCCAGCTGAATGACCCTCATAGGAGTATCCAATGAAGGCCCATGTTGATACCTCCATTGGGATGTTGGAGCAGGCATAGTCCAGGCCTTCTAGGCTTCTACCTCCTCTGTGGTAGAGCAGGAACAGAAGGGCAGCTCCACCTCTTTCTCCTCATCCTACCCAGGAAGACCATATGCAGCCCTCATTGTTTGGCATGTCCCTTGTAACAGGCTCATTAAAATGATCCTTGCTTTCCCTTTCCTCGACCTGTCAGCTGTCCTTTCCTGACCCAGGATGGGAATCCAGGATGGCAATGATATATTAGTAATCTCTTAGCCACAGAAGGATTTCATAACTTGTTATGGACATTTGAAATCTTGGCAGAAATTTGTAAAACAGACCTTCTCTATCACCCTGTTGCAGTCACACTGCACCCTCCCTGGGGCCTCTTGTGACCACAGTCACCCTGGGTTGCTTTTCCTTCTGCTCTCTCATGAGAATGAGAACATGACAATCACTGAAAGGTTAAGCAGCTGCCCAGAGTCACCCAGATGTAGTGAGCAGTGCTAGGCTCAGATACCTGGTTGGGGCAGATGCATTGACTCTACGTGAGGTCACAGCTGGGGTCAGGAAGTGAAATCCACAGTGAATGTAGCTTCTGCACTCTGATCTCCATGGGTGGAAGTGAGTTAGCCCCTGAGCTGGGCACATTGCGCAGCCTCAAGTAGTAACTTTGCAGGCAGTGTCTGCACCTATCTGAAAGCCAGCCTCACAAGGGGCTGAATGTGGACTTCTCACTAGTCTGGGTGCTGACATTAGAAGAACAATCTCAGGTAGGATGAAGCAGGGCTGGTCTGAGAACACCCCTACCCTTCCCTGGGATTCTGGGCTGAAGATGCTTAAATAATCTTGCATAAGCTTCAAGCAAATGCTATAGGAGTCCCACCCTCTGGAATGGAGAAAGTGAAGCTGGTTCTCCCCCTTTTTGAGATTTCCAAGAATAGAAACTGAAAGCCACCCTTGCTTAATTCCCTCCAGCTTGGGCTGGGAGCCTGCCACCACCTTTATCCAGAAATTACACAACTGAGCAGAAAAGGCACTGAAACAGAAAACCCTGCAATTTTGTATTTTCTAACTCCTTTTCTTTCCTTCTCTCTAGGCTCTTCCTAGGACACCCCAACCCAACACAATTCCATTCCTTCCTTACAGAGTATCCTGGATCTGAAACCAGTTTTGGATGGTCCCAGATGAAACTGTCTCTGCTTAATGGCTGGACCCCCCCCACCCTGCCCATGATGGGTAATTTCCAGGAAGACCACTGATTTCTGCATGATCACAGTCACTTGCTGCTTCTTGCAGCAGGAAAGTGAGAGAGCTCCTACTGTTCAGCTTGGCTAATAAGGCTGCTAGTGTGAAGACATGAAAGGTGGAGTCTGAGTCCAGGGCAGGAGAGCTTGGGAACTGGTTTATCCATTTCAGTGAATATTCACAGCAGGGCTCCTCTCTAGCATTCTTCAGGGACAAAACTTGGCACCCGAACTCTTTGTCTGCTTCAAACCCATTCAGCCCTCCAGTATGGCGGCAATGAGCCTACCACCTCTAGGTTCATAGCATTGAGGGTCTTCTGATGGGGATAGGGTTGGAAAATGACAGCAAGTTTTGCCATTCATATTCTCATAGAATCTAAGTAGGATGTAAGACAATGACAATTTCTAGGGTAACCTGGGATTGGGACAGTCTGTTTGGAGCACCAGCTGGACCTTCTGTGGGTTAGGGACTGGGGGTGGGGTTTCAGGGACAAGCTGCCTAACAGACCTTAGACAACGTATAACAATGCACATGTATATCTGCGTTGGAGAAACTGTCCCTGTTGCTGGACACAGATGAAGTCAGTGAAGTGGACTCTTGAATACTCTCTTCCTAGACAGGTTCTTTTGTACTTCATGCCCATTGGTGATTATTAAACTTTCCTAGAACAAATCAATATGTAGATTTTTCCCTTCCTTATGATGATAAAATGGGGGAAATGTGGGTCTTGGTCCACATTGGGTTCAAAATCACAGAAGTCCTTGCTACCTTGGATTTCTAGTCTGGTCCATGGTTGATCCCTGCTTCATGGCTCAAGATGATTGGGCATGGCATGAACTCTAAAGGATCCTGCATGGGAAATCCACTAATGAATGCTTTTCATTCTGCTTCTTAGTTTATGAAGTCTATTAGGTCCATTTTAACAAGAGTTCAAAAAAGTTACCCAAAGGAATAGAATACAATAGATTAAAATGAAGGGAAGGCAAACTGTTGGTAAACTCTTTCTTCAGGTGTATGCATGTGTGTTGAGTATGTACTTAGTTCTTATGTGGAATGCATCTCTCACTGCCGGTGTCCTTCAGAAAACTTTGAAAGATCTGCATATAAGGTCTGATTATCTTTGCAAGCACAACTGCTGAGCTCCCTCCATAAAGGCCTATGTATTTTTGCTCAGGGACTTTCAAACTCTGTTTGGAGAGGGAAGATCAGAGGCACAACATGAGTAGGATCTACAGAAAGGGACATTGGGCTTGCATTGGGCTGGTCTTGGCTTCTCAACTTCTGGGTCAGTAATCTGAGCCTCATGTCCTACAGACACATGTGCACTGACCATTCCTGGAAGACTTGCAAATTCTCATGGAGTTACCCTTGTCCCAGCCTGGCCTGGCACTGTCACATGGACATAGTACTGCCTAAAAGGATTCTGAGAGGATCCCATGTGCAAGGTTGTATAGAATCAGGTGCAAGACAGGAACCAGATGAGCAGGTAGTGGGGGACAGGGAGCTGTGGTTAGTGCTATGGGGCCTCAGTCACCCCTCCAATAGAGTCTAGCACAGGTGCTTAGGTGAGCAGATATGTGAAAAGTCCATAGTTGGGTCAGATACGGTCAGAAATAGTCTGGAACAGGGTAGGTTTATGCTCACCTCCCACACCTACTTTGGGATGGGGGGAGGTCATACTTTTCCCCAGCCTCTACTTGTTTTCCAAAGGGCTGTGGCAGAACTGGCTACAACATTTCAGATGACAGATTAAGGAAGAAAAGTTAATTTATCCATCAGCCAGTAAGTGGGAGATATGCAATGGTTGTGCATATTCATCTAATAGAAATGTGTCCCACACCTGTGGCCACTAGGCAGAGCCTAGGGAATTATTTACTGTAAGTACCAAGACCTGCATATATATTATTATGATATCAGGTATTTAACATGGGATAGCACAGTACTTTCAGGGACTTTAACTTTTTGAAGAGAGCAGGGTTTTTTTTTTTTTTTTAATTGATCTAACACACAAGAAGTTAAGGTGAGACGGGTACATATGGAGGTTGTGATGGGGTTTAGACAAACCAGGGAAAGGATTGAAGGGCTCTAGCTCAGTTCTTATGTTTTAGCTCTCCTAGGCCTCAAAGGACCTCTGATAAGGACATCTAGCCTTCCCCATCCCATAGTAGGGGCAAACTTACAGGTAAGCAGAATCCATACCTTTGTCCCATACTCAGGAGCAGAAGAAAGCCCTTCATACAATCAAGTCAGTGAGCCTGGAATTCACGAAGGAGATTGTTTCCCTGGAGCCATGATGACAGTTCAGGCTTCCAGGAACCTCTATGTACCCCATAAATAAGATTCCAGGTTGTTCTGAATAATAGTCAAGAGAGCCCTTAAAGAAGGCTTTGAGTACAAGGTCAAAGGAGGGCTAATCTTAGATATTCTCATTCCAGACTGTTCCTTCAGCTTGAGCCAGCCCAGAGCTCCATCTTTCTGACTTCTATCCAGCTTTGGCCATATGTGCTTTGCCCAACCACCATGTCATTCACACCCTCACTTGCCTCAGGGCATGTCCACTCCTTGCAGGAGGAGGCACCATCCTTGTTGACTATTGCTCTTCTCTTGGTGAAGGACCCTGAAGACTTTGTGGGCACAGGCCTCGGAAGATTCTGGTCCCTAAGCAGATGTGATGGTGATCTCATCATAATCCATCAGCTTCCTTCCCTCTGAACTCCCAGCATCTCCTGATCATTTCATTAGGGATCTGTCTCCCAATGGGTCAAGTTCACTGCAACATTTTCTGAGAAGTGGGAACACATTGTGGGTTTTCCCTTCACACTTGGAAATCAGTGAGTTTTCTGTAATGTGTAGTGAGGATGGGAGTTGAGAGAGGACTGTGATTTCCATTCTCTCCACAAATTAGTAAGGGTGTATCCAGGAAGAAGTAAATGGCAGTTAACAGCAACAAATGGACCCACATCCCCAAGAGAAGCATCTTAGCATCCAGCCATTCCTTGGCTTCTGGAACTGGAGATTCAGCATTAAGTAGGATCATCCTCCCCTCCTGTCCAGACAGAAACAGAGAATCACACTGTGGGTTTAAATCTTGGATCCCAGGTCATTGCTATGCCATTTAAGGCTTGTTTCTCATCTGTGAGACACTGTTTCTTCATCTGTGACCAGGAATAATACTATTTCTTGTCTAACAGAGCTTGGAGAAGATTAATCAAGAAAAGGCATGCAGAAGATCCTGCCCAGACAGACTCACAGATCAGATCTTCATACACTGCAGTAAGAGTTGGAGGGAGTAAGAAGAACCAGAGAAAAGTCTTCCTCAGAGGTCCTAATAAGACCAGAGAGGATTCACCAAGAGGTTACTGGGAGGCCTGGCCAGAGCTCCACTCAGACCTTAGCATGAAATCCTCACTGGAGACATGTGAGGTGGGTAATATAGCTTCCTGGCTTGCACAAGACAGAACACCAGGGATCAGTTTTCAGTGTGAAAACATTCACATTACCATGGGCCCAGCTTGTCTGCAAACTCTGTCAGGGCTCTTGGCAGTTTCCTCATTGGCAGGGTGTGTCTAGGCCTAATGCTGGATGAAAGTATTCAGAGAAGACTGGGGGACAGTGATGCTAGCAGGACCCACCAGTGGAGAGGAAAGCCAGTGTGATAGGTAAAGTCTGTACCATGGGACCTGCAACTCAATATGAAATTTGTTCTACTGATGAGACTGCAGTCCTTTTGAGCAGAAACCTGAACATTTGGGTGTGAGTTCTCATCTTCAGAAGCATCAGGAGACCTCATATATGGCTCTGGGAGGGAAGAAGCCCTCATGCAATAGAAGGCCTCATGGTCTCCCAGGGAAACTCCTCAGCAAAGAGTCAATCTTGAATTAGAAAATGTTTTAAAATTTGTATTGGTGCACATAGAGATAGTAGATGTCTTTTTTTAAAAATTTATTTATGAGGGATCCCTGGGTGGCGCAGCGGTTTGGCGCCTGCCTTTGGCCCAGGGCGCGATCCTGGAGACCCGGGATCGAATCCCATGTCGGGCTCCCGGTGCATGGAGCCTGCTTCTCCCTCTGCCTGTGTCTCTGTCTCTGTCTCTCTCTCTCTCTCTGTGACTATCATAGATAAATAAATAAAAAATTTAAAAAAAAGATTTAAAAAAAAAAAAAAATTTATTTATGAAAGATACAATGAGAGAGAGAAAGAGGCAGAGACATAGGCTGAAGAAGAAGCAGGCTCCCTGCAAGGAGCCTCATGTGGGACTCGATCCTGGATCCAGGGATCATGCCCTGGGCCAAACACGGTGGCTCAACTGCTGAGCCACCCAGGTGTCCCGAGATAGTAGATGTCTTCAGGGAAATTACCACAGCAATCATAGCCTGTGGGATTGTGAAAGCCCACCAGTCAGTACTGTGCATAGCCCCTAGGAGTAGAAGCCACTAGGTAATCCCAATCAGTTCCCTTTTCAGTTCTGCCTGATAAAATGCTTACAATTTTACTGTAGGGCTCAGCTTATAAGAGAAAGTTTATTTTATTTTTTAAAGATTTATTTATTTATTCGAGAGAGAGAGAGAGAGAGAGAGAGAGAGAGAGAGAGAGAAGCAGAGACACAGGCAGAGGGAGAAGCAGGCTCCAGGCAGGGACCCCGAGGTGGGACTCCATCCAGGGTCTCCAGGATCACGCCCTGGGCTGAAGGCAGCGCTAAACCGCTGAGCCACTGGGCTGTCCTAAGAGAAAGTTTATAGGAGAATTTAAATACTTATAATCACAATAGTGACAAAGATAAACAATCTAGTACAAAAATAAGTACTGACTTAAAAAATCAGTAGGATATCATTTGGAAAACTACAACTTAATTATTGAAGTGGATGAGGGCCTGGGATTTCTTAGGTATGCGATTAGTGGTGAAATATATGGAAAATGGGGAAAAATGCACTTTTCACTGTTGTTAAAAATAATTAAATTGTTCTTGACTCTGAAGACATAAGTATTGAGGATGGGTGAGTTCTCAGGATTGAAAGGTATGGAGAGTTGGAACAAGTTTGCTTCTGCCCTGTAGACATACTGCTCACCCAGTCAGGGAGGAGATGTACCTATACCTGCCTGGCTCCTGACTGAGCAACCCTCATTATGCTCTTCTGCTCAAGCCCACTTCATCCATAGACTGCTTATGAGCTGACTATTGGTACCACAGCTGCTATGCATTCCTCAGCAGTCTCTGAACCCCTAACATGTGCACATCTCCTGAATAAATACCTCTGCTGCTTTTCTTTTCAACAACTTTATTGGGACATAATTTACACATTCTGTGATTCATCTCTTTTAAGTTTTCAGTAGTTTTGAATATATTCACAATGCTGTGCCCCTGTCACAATCAAATTTAGAACATTTTCATTATCCAGAAGATATCCTGTACCTCTTGACTGTTGGCTTTCTTTTCCCTTATGCCTTCTGGACTTCAGATCTAGGAAATCCCCAATATATTTCATAGAATACATGGTCTGATGTGATGTCTGCTTTCACTGAGTGTAATGTTTTGTGGTTCATCCATGTTGTGGCAAGTATCATACTTCATTTTTTTTTCTTTCCCAATGCTGTTCTCTTGTATGGAAAGATCATTTTTGTTTATCCATTGAACAGTGGGTGGGCAACTGTGTTAATTCCCTTTGAAGGCTACTGTTAATAATGCTGCTGTGAACATCTGCATTCAGGTTTTATGTAGATGTATGTTTTCATCCCTCTTATGTATACACCTAGGAATGTAACTGCTGGGTCATTTGGTGACTCCATTTAAGTTATTTTATTAGTTTTATTGAAAAATAACTGGCATACCTCACTGTATGAGTTGAAGGCATATAGCATGATGATTTGATATCAATGATGTCAAATAGGCATATACAGGATATATTGACACAACAAATTAACATATATTATGAAGTAATTCCTGCAATACGTTAAGCTAAAATCCATCATCTCAATAAAAGGAAAAGAAAGAAGAAAAAAGAGAAAAATTCTCTTGTTATGAGAACTCTTAGGATATTTTATCTTGAGAACTTTCTTATGAATCATACAGCAGTGTTATCTATTGTCATCAGGTTGTACATTACATCCCTAGCGCTTACTTATAACTGAAATCTTGTACCTTTTGAACATTTCCTCCAATCTCCTTTCTCTCATGCATGACTCTGCTGTTTCCTAAGTCTGTTCTCTTTTTCTATGAATTTATTTTCTTTTTAAATTCCACACATCAGATTATGTAGTGTTTGCCTGATTTATTTTACTTAGCATAATGCTTTCAAGGTACATCCATATTGTTACAAACGGTAGGATTTCCTCATTTTTAATGGTTAAATATGCGTAAATTTTTGACAAACTATCAAACATTTTTTGCAGAGGCCTGTTGTTTCTCATCTAAATGCCTTTGCCGGGAGTTGATTGTGGATCTGACACCCTCAGTTTGGGATACCAGATCTGATGATACTTCTGCCATCCTGTGTGCCTGGCCCTCCTAACTCCACTGCTTTTTCCCACTTCTGCAGGTCACTCCACTGCTCAGCGATGTGACACAGCCCACCCACTCTCTTCACACACCATTACTTACAACCTCCAACTATGATATGCCATACAATATGGGCTGGAGTAGCTTATCTAAGGAGACTGCCATAAACATTGAAAAGGCCTTGGGAGGAAGGAAGTTGCTGGAGGTGGTCCCTATGGTCAGGGAGACCCTGGAGAGAGCATCCAGTGTCCCACTGAGAATTGCTGTGACTGGGGACTCTGGCAATGGCATGTCTTCTTTCATCAATGCACTGCGGGGAATTGGGCATGATGAGGAGGATTCAGCTCCCACAGGGGTAGTAAGAACCACCCAGATTCCCACTTGCTACTCTTACCCCCACTTTCCCAATGTGGAGCTGTGGGACCTACCTGGAACAGGGGCAGGCACCCAAAGTCTGGAGAACTACCTGGAGGAGATGAAATTTAGCCGGTATGACCTCTTCATCATTATTGCATCTGAACAGTTCAGCATGAATCTTGTGAAGCTTGCCAAGGCCATCCAGGTCCTGGGAAAGAGATTCTACATTGTCTGGACCAAGCTGGACAGGGACCTCAGCACAAGTGCTCTCTTGAAAAAACGTCTCCTGCAGAATATTCGGGAGAATATTCAGGAAAATCTCCAGAAGGAGAGGGTTTTCAAACCCATCATATTCCTGGTCTCCAGCTTTGAGCCCTTATTGCATGACTTCCCAGAGCTTAGGAACATCTTGAACAGGGACATTTCTGATATCAGGTACTGTGGTCCCCTAAAGAATCTGTCCCACACTTATGAGAAGGTCATTAGTGACAAAGTGACCATGTTCAGGGGGAAAATAGCCTCAAAGTCTTTTGATACCCTTGGCATTTGGAATGCAGATGATCTTGGGGAGTGTCTGATAGTCTACCACTTGCTCTTTGGTGTGGATGATGAGTCTCTCCAACAGATAGCTCAGAGTATGGGGAAACCCATGGAGGAGTACAGGGCCATTATGAAGTCTTGGGATCTGTACACTATCATTAGAGGGGACTGGGCAGTATCTTGCATGAATTGTAATACATCCTCTTGCTTATATACAATTCTGAGGTACATCCCACTGTTAGGTGACTTTATTATCAACTTTCTGAGAAAGTGGAAACACAGACGCCTCCTGGAAATAGTTGCTGAGGACACCAGAACCATCTTGAAGAAAATCCTGAAAGACTCCATCATCTGAAGAGTTGATGTCATCAGGAACCTTCTAGAGGGAAGTCAGAACATCTGGTATCCTCTCCTCACACTGTACCCTTTCTGAATTTCCAATCAAGATCAGTTACTTCCACTTTTATCAAATCTAAGTTTCTTGAGGTAAATGAGCTGACTTGCTCATTTTGAACCCATGTCATGAAATTCCCAAATATGTTCTACTTCTTGCCATTTGTTAAATGAGTCTGGATCCAAAGGTGGAAGAAAAGATTTGCTCAGTGTGACACACAGTCTTATTGTGACATCCACCCTTAACGCCATTTATCTGACACCCATGTTCTTTCACCTCTCACCTCACATTCTGTGGACTCATACAATCTTGACCTGCCCCTAGGTCAGTGGTAGACACTCTAAAATGGCCTCCAACATTTTCTCCTGTTTTTAGGGCTATGTTTAATCCCTTCCTCTAGAATGACTAATAGAATATGACAGCAATAATAAAATGTTCATAAATTCCAAAATTTTGTTATGAAAAGTCTGCAGCTCTGTCTTATAAACACTCTGCTCACTGGCTCTCTCTTGCTCCTGCTCCAGCTCTCTGTCTCCCTCCTACTCTCCCTCTCCTTTTTTCCTCTCTCTGCCTAGAAACCATAGAAAGTTTATACTAACCTGCTGGAGAGGCTCTGAAGCATCAGAGGAAGCCTGCACTAACTGCCAGCCATGTAAATAAGTCATCTTGGGAGCAAATCCTTCAGCCCCAGCAAGATTTCAGAAGATGCAACTCAGCTGATAGCTTGACTACCACCTCAGGAGAGACCCTTATCCAGACCTACACAACTAAAACTGCTCCTAGATTACTGACCCCCAGAAACTGTCAGCAAATAAACACTAGTTTTAAGTCACTAAGTTTCAGAGTATTTGTTCCACAGTAGCAGAAAAAACAATACCAACAAGAAGCTCCTTACAGAACTAGTAGTTGTGAGTGACCTCTTCCCTCTGTGATTCTCACTCCTGCATGGACCCAGCACAAAGGAGCTGTACCCTCTCCAATCACAGCCCTTCCCTCCTTGGCCTCTGGATGTGCATTTCCCTGCGTTCGACTGAAGGACCAGCTGCTGTCAACATTCACAGGTCATTTCATCAAGCCTCAGTCCACACAGAGTCATCCTATTTGGGGCTCTATATTTAAGAAGAAAAAGCAGGGAAAAAAAAGAAGTAGCTAGACAAAGCAATGCTCAGTGGTGAGAAAGAGAGGAAATGACAGTAGAATGGGACTACTCCCCTGAGGAAGAGCAGGCTAGTGATCTCTCTGAAGGTGTTCTATACAATACTTTTAAATTCTCATTCTCACTTGCACTAGTTGCTGTCCCAACCTGGAGCACAGGGCTCACTCTTATCTGTCCATTATGTTGGTGGTGCCGGTGCTTCTTGGATTTCCTCTTGCCTGGTCATTTACATTGAGTCCATTCTCAAAATGAGAAAAAAGTTCTCTGTGTGGTATACTTTCTGAGTCTTCACGTTTTGAATTAATGCCTTTATTTTATGATCACTGTCAATAGTTTAACTGAGTTCTGAATTCTAGATACAACAACATTTTCTCTTAGAACTCTAAAGATCTATCTTCTTAAAGCATGCCTTGTTGCCAGTAAAAAGCCCAATTCCAATTCCATACTCATTCCTTGGATGGTAACCTGTTTGTCTCCAGGGAAAATTCATCCCTAGGGTTCAGTGGTATCACCGGGCACTAGTGACCTGGAGTACTTCCACTTACCACTCAGTATTCAGAAGGCTCTTTAAAAGACAACTGACGTGAAAGGACATGGAGGAAACTGAAATGCATATTACCAAGTGAGAGAAACAAATCTGGAAAGGATAAATACTGCACAATTCCAAAGGCATAACATTCTAAAAAAGGCAAAACTGTAGAGTCAATAAAAAGACCAGTGGTTCCCAAGTGTTCAGAGGAGGTAGGGATAAGTTGATGGAGCATAGAGGCCAGTGAAACCAGTCTGTGTGATATGACAATGGTGGATCAGTGGTGGATAAATTATACTTTTGTCATAGCACCAAGAGTGACCCCAATGTAAACCATGGATGTGGAGGGAGAAAGATGGATCAGTTTGGGTTCATGAATTGTACAATGAATGATGTGAGTTGTTGATAGTGGGGGCTATAGGTGTGTGAGGGCAGGGGATACATGGGAACCCTCTGTACCTTCTGCTCCATTTTGCCGTGACAGTAAAACTGTTTTGAGATATAGTCTATTGAAAAAGATAATGTCTGCTGACATCATTCTTCACCCTTGGTTTTGTCCTTTATTGCATTTTCTAAGTGTTACATGTATTCAGCTGCTCATTACAGTAGAATATATATGATACTACTTACACACATACATATACACAATGTAAAGCAAAATGTAAATACCTATGAACTCAGCTCCCAAATTTAAAGCTAGAATGTTTCTTATATCATTGAATGTTTCCACCCACTTCACCCCATATCCTGTCTCTCTGCATCTCTTCTCAGACATACAGCACCTTCAAATTTTGTTTTTAACATGTTTTTTTTTTTAACATTTTTTGCTTCCTTCAGTTTTTACCATAGATGTGTGTTAACTCAGATGATGTATTATTTAGTTTTCCTTGTTTGGATGTCTTAGAAAAACATAATTATTTTGTGTGCCATCTTCTATAAGCTTCTTTTAATTGTTTCTATCACAGGCGCTTCTGTTTTGCCAAGAGAGCATATATAATCTCTCTTTCCCTGTAAACGGAAATTTGAGTTTGGGGTTCTTTAAAGTTGTTTCTTTCTCTTCAACACAGTTCTGCTATAAACATCTTACACATGTTTCTGGTACACCTGTGTAGAACTTCCTCCAGAAATAGGAGTGGAAGTTCTGGGTCATAACATATGGATTCTTACACATTTCACAAAAGGAAGAGAATGTGTTACCAAACAGTATCAGATTTCCCATCATTTAGATATTATCTGTATTTCTATCACTACTGGATTTTGAGAAGGATCTCATACCCACAAAAGCCCCACAAAAGCAAGTGTTGACACTGTGCTTCTAGTATCATCAACTGGAGAATATTGTGCGCTCTGTGGCAACACCATCAGGGTCCCAAGGATAAGGGGGTGAGGAAAATAAAAGAAAAGTAAAGAGATGGGGACAGGAGGGACATGGTGGATGATGTCCAAGCAGTGCCAGCTTTATTCAAGGTTCTACAACATTTTATAGCATGAGCAAAACAAAGCTAAGAAGGTATCTATTTTTAGCATGTTTGTGAAACCCTCCAAAGTTTCCCTTTCTCAGCATGCAAGACAGACCCACTGGTGCCAGAAGACCTTGGTAAATAGATAAGCTTGTTGCTCCAGATGTGCATAATTGAAAGGAATATTAGATATGGTTAACAGACCAGCAAGGACAGCACAGACCCTTATTTACATTTATGACCAGGCCAGAATAAGTTGTATCTATTGTGTTATGTGGGCGATCACATACAAGTGAGCTCTGAGAACCATTGCTCAAGCCCTTTCTCAAGTGTCAACCAACTATCCATCCTTCAGGCTCCCGAGCCTTTCGAGTGAATGAGGGATGCAAGTCCGGGCCCGGTTGGGTTCAGTTACTCCAGCTAGTCCGTGGCTGTCCACAGGAGAATCTGAGATTTAGGCTGTCTGGTTGCAAAACGGGCATCCTTCTTTGTGGAGTCTGTTTCCTATCTTCACTAGGTCTGGGTAGACCTTCTTTTGAGACCACCACATTTGCCTTTATTTCATAAACCAGCATGTGACTGTGACCTTCAGAGCCTCCTTATTCTTTTTTGTATAATTTTTATTGGAGTTTGATTTGCCAACATATAGTATAACACTCAGTGCTCATCCTGTCAAGTGCCTCCCTGAGTGTCCATCACCCAGTCACCCCATCCTCCCAACCACCTCCCCTTCCACTACCTCTTGTTCGTTTCCCAGAGTTAGGAGTCTCTCATGTTCTTTCACCTTCTCTGATATTTCCTACTCATTTTGTCTCCTTTCCCCTTTAATCCCTTTCACTATTTTTTTATATTCCCTGAATGTATGAAATCATATAATGTTTGTCTTTCTCTGATTGACTTACTTCACTTAGCATAATACCCTCCAGTTCTATTCACATTAATCAAATGTGGGTATTATCATCTCAAATGGCTGGGTAATATTCCATTGCATATACAGACCACATCTTCTTTATCCATTCATCTTTCGATGGACACCGAGGCTCCTTCCACAGTTTGGCTATTGTGGACATTGCTGCTAGAAACATTGGGGTGCAGGTGTCTCTGTTATGCACAGCATCTGTATCTTTGGGGCAAATCCCCAGCAATGCAATTGCTGGATCATAGGGTAGCTCAATTTTTAACTCTTTAGGGATCACCACACAGTTTTTCAGAGTGGCTGTATCAGTTCACATTCCCACCAACAGTGCAAGAGGGTTCCCCTTTCTCCACATTCTCTTCAACATTTGTTGTTTCCTGTCTTGTTAATTTTCCCCATTTTCACTGGTGTGAGGTGGTATCTCATTGTGGTTTTGACTTGTATCTCCCTGATGGCAAGTGATGAGAAGCATTTTTTCATGTGCTTGTTGGCCATGTGTATGTCTTCTTGGATGAAATTTCTGTTCCTATCTTCTGTCCATTTCATAACTGGATTGTTTGTTTCTTAGCTGTTGAGTTTAATAAGTTCTTTATAGATCTTGGATACTAGCCCTTTATCTTATGCGTCATTTGCAAATATCTTCTCCCATTCTGTAGGTTGTCTTTTAGTTTTGTTGACTGTTTCTTTGGCTGTGCAGAAGCTTTTATCTTGATGAAGTCCCAAGAATTCATTTTTGCTTTTGTTTCCCTTGCCTTCCTAGATGTTTCTTGCAAGAAGTTGCTGTGCCCAAGTTCAAAAAGGGTGTTGTCTGTGTTCTTCTCTAGGATTTTGATGGATTCCTGTCTCACATTTAGATCTTTCATTCATTTTGAGTTGATCTTTGTGTAGCTGTAAGAGAATGGTCCAGTTTCATTCTTCTTCACGTGGCTGTCCAATTTTCCCAGCACCATCTATTGAAGAGACTGTCCTTTTTCCAATGATAGTCTTTCCTGCTTTTTCGAGTATTAGTTGACCATAGAGCTGAGGGCCCATTTCTGGGTTCTCTATTGTGTTCCATTGATCTATGTGTCTGCTTTTGTGCCAGTACCACACTGTCTTGATGACCACAGCTTTGTAGTACAACCTGAAATCCGGCCTTGTGATGCTCCCGGCTTTAGTTTTTTTATTTTTTCTTCAATATTCCCTAAGCTATTTAGGGTCTTTTCTGAGTCCAGACAAATCTTAAGATGATTTGTTCCAACTCTCTGAAGAAAGTCCATGGTATTTTGATAGGGATTGCATTGAATGTGTAAATTGCCCTGGGTAGCATAGATATTTTCATAATATTAATTTTTCCAATCCATGAGCATGGAATATTTTTCCATCTCTTTGTGTCTTCCTCAATTTCTTTCAGAACTGTTATGTAGTTTTTAGGGTATAGATCCTTTCCCTCTTTGGTTAGGTTCATTCCTAGGCATCTTATGCTTTTGGGTGCAATTGTAAATGGGATTGACTCCTTCATTTCTCTTTCTTCAGTCTCATTGTTAGTGTATGGAAATGCCACTGACTTCTGGGCATTGATTTTGTATCCTGCCACACTGCTGAATTGCTGTATGAGTTCTAGCAATCTTGGGGTGGAGGCTTTTGGGTTTTCTATGTACAGTATCATGCCATCTGCGAAGAGGGAGAGTTTGACTTCTTCTTTGCCAATTTGAATGCCATTTATTTATTTATTTGTGTTGTCTGATTGCTGAGACTAGGACTTCTAGTACTACGTTGAAGAGCAGTGGTAAGAGTGGACATCTCTGTCATGTTCCTTATCTTAGGGGAAAAGCTCCCAGTGTTTCCCCATTGAGAATGATATTTGCTGTGGGCTTTTCGTAGATGGCTTTTAAGATGCTGAGGAATGTTCCCTCTATCCCTACACTCTGAAGAGTTTTGATCAGGAATGGAGGCTGTACTATGTCAAATGCTTTCTCTGCATCTATTGAGAGGATCATATGATTCTTGTTTTTTCTCTCATTGATATGATCTATCACGTTGATTGCTTTACAAGTGTTGAACCAACCTTGCATCCTGGGGATAAATCCCACTTGGTCATGCTGAATAATCTTCTTAATGTACTTAATGTTGGATCCTATTGGCTAGTATCTTGTTGAGAATTTTTGCATCTGTGTTCATCAGGGATATTGGGCTATAATTCTCCTTTATGGTGGGGGTCTTTGGTTTTGGAATTAAGGTGATGCTGGTTTCATAAAATGGGTTTGGAAGTAGTCCATCCCTTTCTATCTTTCAGAACAGCTTTAATGGAATTGGTATTGTTTCTTTCTTAAACGTTTGAGAGAATTCCCCTGGGAAGCCATCTGACCCTGGACTCTTGTGTCTTGGGAGTTTTGGATGACTGCTTCAATTTCCTCCCTGGTTATTGGCCTGTTTAGGTTTTCTATTTCTTCCTGCTCCAGTTTTGGTAATTTGTGGTTTTCCAGAAATGTGTCCATTTCTTCTAGATTGCTTGATTTATTGGCATATAGCTGCTCATAATATGTTTTTAAAATAGTTTGTATTTCCTTAGTATTGGTTGTGATCTCTCCTTTTTCTTTTTTTATCTCTCCTTTTTCATTCGTGATTTTATTAATTTCAGTATTTTCTCTTTTGTTTTTCATAAGGCTGGCTAATTCGTTTATCTATCTTATTGATTCTTTCAAAGAACCAACTCTTGGTTTTGTTGATCTGTTCCCCAGTTCTTCTGGTCTTTATTACATTGAGTTCTGCTCAGACCTTTATTAACTCTCTTCTTATGCTTGGTGTAGGTTTTATTTGCTGTTCTTTCTCCCATTCCCTTAGGTATAAGGTTAGCTTGTGTATTTGAGTTTTTCCAGTTTTTTTGAGGGATGCTTGTATTGTGATGTATTTCCCTCTCAAGACTGCTTTTGCTGTATCCCAGAGATTTTGAATGGTTTTATCTTCATTTTCATTAGTTTCCAGTTATCTTTTAAATTTTTCTCTAATTTCCTGGTTGACTCTTTCATCTTTTAGCAGGATGCTCTTTAACCTCCATGTGTTTAAATTTCTTCCAAATTTCTTCTTGGGATTGAGTTCTAATTTCAAAGCTATATCTGAATATATGCAGGGGACAATCCCAATCTTTTGGTATCAGTTAAGGCCTGATTTGTGACCCAGTATGTGGTCTATTCTGGAGAATGTTCCATGTGCACTTGAGAAGAATGTGTATTTAGTTGAATTTGGATGTAAAGTTCTGTAAATATCTGTGAAATCCATCTGGTCCAGTGTATCATTTAAAGCCCTTGTTTCTTTGGAGATGTTGTGCTTAGAACATCTGTCATTTGCAGAAAGTGCCGTGTTGAAGTTTCCCAGTATTAGTGTATTATTATCTAAGTATGTCTTTACTTTAGTTATTAATTGATTGATATACTTGGCAGCTCCCACATTAGGGGCATAAATATTCATGATTGTTAAGTCCTCTTGT